TTTGTGCTGACAATTCATGTCCATGAACACAAATAACTATTTCAGATTCTGCGTGGACAGCAGGGTGTTTCATTATAAGCCATAATTGCAGTGTCATTACCTTTCCTGCTCTCACCTGTAGTTTGGGTTTGGTCATCTCGCCGTGCTTCTCTTTTCAGCTCCGTCTCCTCACCCTCCAGCTGCAGCTGACAGCTGCCCCTCCTGATTCTGCCAGAGGTCTCTTCCTGTTCTGGGCAAACATTTCAACTCTGAATAACCATCAGCTTTTCTCGAAGTTTATCTTGGTTGATTTACAGTTCAAAATAAAAGTTGTGCTGATGTCAGACATGTGACCTTACAGCTGGCTCAGTGTCATTTAAACCACTGCCTTGATAAGACTCAAACAAGAATTAATTTATGTTAATATTCTATTGATTTGAGAAAAATATATTTTAAAATGAGAGAAGAGTAAAAATGCTAAGAAATAAACATAAAAGTCTGACTGAGCTCTAACTCTGATTTCAGTTTCTAATCTCACAATTAAAGGCTCGCTTCACACGTCCATGATGCTGACACTGTTGACAATGAGTAAAGATTGTAAAGAAGCTACACGTATGAGCACACATCAAACAGAATTATCCTTATAGGGGGGAAGAAAACAACACTAAAAGTTCTTGCTGCATTTACCGTCTGATACGATAAGGCTGTAGTTGTGTTTGGATGTTTACCTCTCATTTTCCAGTGTAGTACAGTGTTCTCCTTTAATAACTTTTAACTGCTAGAAAACTAAAAGTTGGATGCTGCCCATCAAACCTAAACTCTTGTACTCGTGCAGCTCATGGAGGAGTCGGGTGGGAGCTTACAGGGCTGAGGAATAACTGCATAACAGGCATGAAAAAATTGTTTAAACAGAAAATACTTGGACATCTTTGCCTTTTTGATTCACTAAGGGAGATCGTGGCTCAAGAGTTGGGAGTTCGCCTTGTAATCGGAAGGTTGCCGGTTCGAGCCCCGGGTTGGACAGTCTCGGTCGTTGTGTCCTTGGGCAAGACGCTTCACCTGTTGCCTACTGGTGGTGGTCAGAGGGCCCAGTGGCGCCAGTGTCCGGCAGCCTCGCCTCTGTCAGTGCGCCCCAGGGTGGCTGTGGCTACAATGTAGCTGCCATCACCAGTGTGTGTGAATGGGTGGATGACTGGATGTGTAAAGCGCTTTGGGGTCCTTAGGGACTAGTAAAGCGCTATACAAATATAGGCCATTTACCATTTCTAAATATGTTTCTGAGTGGTTTGTGCTACTGAACAAGAATGTATTTCAGTAGTCAGAAGCCAAAGACATCGACTTTATAACAATAACATTGTAAAGCTGTCATTCATTAAGTATTTAATATATAAAGCTTCTCTTGTTTTGTCAAAACATGAGCTTCTCTTGTGTTTTGACAACACGACAGAAAGCTTTTCAAAAGATTGAAGTGCTACACTCAAGTTAATTATATGACAATATTATGATCATGTAATGGTTTCTTTTCATTGCATAGGTAATTAAATGCATACACCTTCAAGGTGTATGAGAATCATTCGAATATAGTAGAAACTGAAATTCACTCAGCAGACTTTGGTACATTTGTCGCGTGTGTCTGTGCAGGTAAGCTGGAAAGCTCTGTGCCAGAGGAAGAGGAGGAAGGCAGCGCTCAGGACGACTAGTCCAGCAGAGAAACCTCAGCACTGAACAGGCGGCCAAATTTATTTGTGGATATTCTGGACAAACCCCAAGACGGATTCAAACATCCATCTCCATCCAAGTCAAGCACCTACTGTGCATGTCCGGGCTTGTTGGGAAAGCTGACCTGTGTGGAGGTTATAGAAAGCTCAGTTAAGGTTTTAATCACAGTAGGTAAAGAAACGTGTTCAACCAGCATCTGCTTCACTTTAAACAAAAGGGGAACAGCCCAGCTGACAGTCACCTGACCACAACTAACACCCAAGTACATAACAATTAAAATGAGCTCAGATTTAGTTCATAAATAAGGGCAGAAATATGTTTTTTCCTTAAACAGAAGTGATTAAAAAAAGAACCTTAAACTGCCCCAGATTTTTAAATGCTTCTGGTGGGAAACGAAACATTATCATCTCAAGCTTGTCTTAATATATGAAGGAAAATTGTTTATACAATTGTTTGTTTATACATTTTATATCATTTTAAAGTTTTTAAATATCAAGGAGGAAATTAATCTAGGTACATTTAATTCTACCTAGATTACATTAACTACAATGGATAGCAACTAGATATAACATGGGATCTAATACACAGTTGGCAAATTTCAAAAATATAGGATAAATGAAAATATAGCAAAAATGTTATCATCCAACTTCTCTTCTACGTGATTAGGAGGATTTTCAAATATGTATTTATACATGCATTAATTTTAATTTGCATACATTTCCCACCAGAAGTTTTCAAAATGTCCACCGTGAGATTGCAGCTTGTAGGCAAAGCATATCTTAAACACACAAAATACTGCAATATTTATTGCAGTATTTTGATCGAAGGTTGCATTGATTGTCGGGTTGACCCTAAAGGTTTATAAGACATTCTTCAAACATTCTGCCATCTAACTGGAAAAGCACAAATATTACTGGCTACACTCAGGTGCAAAGGTCATTGTCCCTCCCCCTTCTTTTTGTGTCTTATTGAACTGCACACCATGTAAAAGTTCTGTGTTGCATTTAATTTTAAAAGTGTTCTTGAGATTTGATTCCAGCAGTTTGTTGCTGACATTAGAAATGTCAACTTATTATAGCTTTTCATCATTTTACTCACTGAATGGTTTCAAAAATCTGCATCCAAGCACTGGAAACTGCCACTTTAATTTGCTGCAATTCTGCATCATGATACATTTGTCTACATCTACTTTTGTTTTTCTTCAAATAAACTGGATTTGATGAGGAATTACTAAATGTACCACGTATTATTGTAATGGATTACTTTGAAGATGAGTTATGTTTTTTCATTACCATATGCTTTTCTTCTGCGTACGTGATCGGCATCACCGGCACTTATAAATAACTGCAATAACTTGTCAAATTTGACGACATATATGCTACACCCTCAGCTACCAGGAATTTACTGAATACTTTTTTGTCTTCTTCTTGGATGCCTCCTGGTGGCTTTTCTATGACACAGCAAGGCTACCAAAGTAGTTTTGTTAGGAATGCCATAAAATCTTGAATAATTGAATAAAATAACATGAAGTAACAAAAAGCAACATCTTATTATTGATTTTTTTGAGCAGTTGTTTACTTGTAGATCATTGCAGGAGTCCTGAGTAGATTGGTTACCTGCTGCGTAAAGTCTAACTTGTCACCTGATGTGAATTACCCTTGTGTGTTCATACTTACTGGTTTTTACCTCATTCGTCGCAGGTAGTGGCACACACTCAGAGTTCAGGTCTGACACAGCCCTAAAGTTTATTTTATTCATGTCATTTTAAGTTACAAGTTGGAATCAGAAACACAAAAAGAAAAGAGAAGAAAAAAAAAAGAAGTTATAAAGTAAAACAGCAACCATTCCACATCAAATGGCAGAATGTGTCCACGGAGCTGTCCTTACAAGCTCATAATGCAAACTACTGACTCGCCACAGAAGAAACACCTTTTTGAACATTTTTTTTCTGTGTTCCTGCTACGTTCTGTAAATATGACTTCACTTTGCAGCCACTTGCAGAATAACTCCAGCAGTGGTTAAAAGTCATGAGTAGTATGCAGAATGAACCTTCAGACAGAGCCCTGGGGTTAGTATTACACTAGCAAAGGGCTAACTTAAGGAGAGTAAGGTTTGTGTCTCGTTACGTAGCCCCTGCTGTGCTCTGATTGAGGAAGAAAATAAAAATCAGACTGCACTTTGTAAAAGTTGTCCATCTGTCCTTTAAGGTCCCACACAACCGTCGCAAATATGTAAGAGTCATTGGTGGATGCCCCTTCGACCAGAATTTGCAAATCCAGTGAAAGCGGCACTGAGGGTGAATAATAATTGTTTTTTATTCTTATTGCAGCTCCAGTTCATCTTATGTTTTTTTTTTATTAGTGTTAGGTGGTTAAAATGACCTTAGTATTAAAGTTAAACAGTTATATAACTGGACTATAGATGGTCAGCTATCATCAGCTGCTGCTAAGGTGCCTTTGAGTAAGGCGTGCTTCCCCCAGCTGCTTCAGTAGGGCTTCAAAAGAACAACGAAGCTCCTTTCCGTTCTGATTAGGGGTTATTTTGTAGTTTTACTCTACCGCAGACAACATGTAGCACCTACTGCAGCGTCAGTCAGGGGAGCTGAGGGGAATACTTGCAAGTGTTTTCTTTTGCTTGATCCCACTGTAAGAGTTTAACAGAGCTGCCGCAGAGCTGGCGTCAAACACTGAAAACGCCCAAAAAATGGCATTTCTCACCACTTGTCAACACTCCAATCCTTCCAAGCCCTGATACACACTTTTCTTTTTTTTAGTGTCAACACATTTGGCAAATCGTCATTGTCGTCGTCATAAAAATAACAAAACATAAACATTAAAAACAGACAGCTTCACATCAAAGTAGAATACAGATATTATATCTTTACCCACAAAATGTTCATGTTACGACTAGCTAGAAAAAAAAGAAAGAAAACATCACCATGTTATACAAGTGTGTGTCCGTCTGAATATGTGTGTGTGTGTGTGTGTTTGTTTGCTAGGAAATGGTCGAAGATTAGTGTTTGGAACCGTAGATCTGCTCAGGATTGTGTATCTGTACGCGTGTGTAAACTCAGATTAACGAGCAACATGTCTTTCAGTATCAACACAGGAATCCTCACCCCGCATCCATAAAAGAAATATAATAAGAATAATAATAAACCCCACAAAAACATCAGAATCATTTGCATTCTCAAAGTAAGCATCCAAAAATCCATCACCACATAGTAGTTATCAGCTGGCCACTAAAGTTCTCAAAACTTTCATTGCAAAATTAAAAAAAAAAACAAAAAAAAACAAAGGAGAAAAAAAAATATTTTAGTGTCAACTATATATATATATACTATATATTTATACTTTTGTTCTTTATACCAACCAAACATTATGTATTTTTTGTGTTGCTATGGTCGTGGTCCCTGGCAACATCATGGAAACGGTACGATTAAAATAAAGACACTGATCCCCCAACTTCATCCAGCTCGTGTTTCTGTTCATATGTTGTGTTTTTTCCCTCCTCTTTTTAATTTGAGCACTTGTGTTTCATACGCTCTTCTTATATTTTTAGTGGATTTGTTTTCAATGCTACGCGTTTAGTGTTAAATGCCGACAGTGTTGCTTTTTTGTCCGAACACGCTGAGGCTTTGTAGGCATAGATTAGTGTGTTTAGTTTGGATTTAGTGTACTCTGGTAGTGTGTATTTGTTTTGTCTGTACCCCCATTCAATAGCAGACTATAAGGTATGCCTTTGTGTGGTTAGTGTCTGTGTGTGTCTATGCATTAGCGCTGATGCTCTGTTTGTAGACGGCGTGGTAGGCGTTTCGCAACAGGACGTAAGGGAAACAGGACTCCAGCAGGTCCATGGTGAGGAAGGGAGACTCCTGCACAATCTGAAGCAGAAACGAAATGCAGAACAACTCTTAGACGATTGGAAATATACGGTAATACTCAGAAGTAAACTTGAATGTTAAAAATAGTTCTGCACTTCAACTTGAATCCATTTTTTTTTCACATCCTGATATAGCTTTGATAGTTGCTTTTTAGGATGTTTTACTTTTAAAAGAGGAACAAATGTCGACAGATAAAGTCTCCTGTACGTAGTTTTCTTACCATGTCCAGCAGCAGGTAGACAGATTCTCTGTTACGTGTCGTCATCTTGTCCGTTTCCTGACCGATCTTCAGCAGGCTGGATGAGGCCAGCTACACAGAAACATGTTACAGACTGATGTTAAGAGTCTCTCAAGTCAAGCTTCGGTTTTGTTTTCGTATCAGTTTTAACTAAACTTTAGAATTTCTTGACAAAAATTGGGAAATTACACACCATTTCCAAATTTATCAAAGAAAATCTGACTTAACTGCATAATTACTGGAGCTTCAAAGACATGTAAGCACTTCATGACTGCTTGTCTACTCTGTACTTCTTATAACACAGACTGTTGGTAATAATGAGCCACAATACAAAGTCTTCTAGGGATAACAGTTTTCTTCCATAAGCCCTTCAGTTCTCCTTGAAATAGATTCTGCAAGCTGCTGTAACTCGAGGGATGAAACTCATTTGTCTGAAAGATACCTGGTATTTTGATAAGGGTGACGACCAAAAAGCTCACATAGATGTTCAGCTGGACTCAGATCTAAAGACTATGAAGGTCATTGCTTACATCACATAATTTTCATACACATCAAACCATTCAGTGAGTCCATGACCCAAGGTTTGGGACACTGTCATCCTCAAAGAGACCATTCCCTTTAGGATAAAAAGGTTTCATCAAAGGACAGAGCTGATCAGGATAACTTCGAAAGGGGACCCGAATAATGGCTCCAAGCCATATAATAGTCACCGGATACCTCAGTTGTAGGTTTTTCCTTTAATTTGTTACATTGCGTGTTTGATGTTGACATTATGATGAGAGATTGTATATCCCCCTATAAGTTTAAATGAATCTAATTATTCTGCGTATCTTCTACGTCAGAATGCAGACATGATGCCCTAAAGAGCTGCCATCACAGCGCAGTGCTACACTAGAGAAACCCCAGTTATAATGTAAAGTTCTCTAAGAGTAACAGAAATGCAGTGTCTTACAGCCAGGAACTCTTTGAGGCGGTCCTCTATGCTTCCCTTGTGGATGGTGAAGAGAGCAGCAGCGATCTGGTTGATTGCTTTGGCCAGGCAGTGGATGTTGTTACAGTGGCCTGTAGGAGGCAGCAAACACACACGATTAGCTGAAGAAGGAGAGATTATTGACTCTGTTTAATTTCTCACATGTGACTTTCACAGCAGAGGAAATTTCCGGCTTATAAAACATGGATCTGTCAATCCTGGGCTTCATTTCTGTATCGCATGTGACATGGATGACAAGCACATGAATATAAAACGCGCGTGTAATCGTAAGGTTAGAGAATGGTTAGTGTGGCTGCACCGGTGCGACGTGTTAAGACCTGCTCCCGGCAAAACCAATCACTGGTCGGGACACAGTCTGCATACTAACAATGGTGGAGCCCATTACAACTCATTATCCTTTTCAAATGTCCCTTATTAACAATGGTGCCTTTCATTTCAAGGTTGTTAAGTGGCACTGTCTTGATAATTCGCGACCTTGAGTTATAACTCTCTTCGATACCTCATCAAAAGGCCTCATGTATCTGCAGCGATGCCCCTCCGTGGATCTAAATATCAAGTCTGTATAACTGAATGAATCTTTCAGGCAAATAAATAAAACAAACACGGGTCACATGGGCTAAACAGACATTTAAAACTGATTAATTATTTAAAAAGTACACATAATGAAGATGATAATATGGCTCTAATGAACACACATAAATCAATCTTGGGGCACAAGGTCGACGTCATTTGCATGCAGAAACTGTCTCGCGCGTTGAACGTGGTAAATTTTGTTTCTTACAAAGTGGAATTTCTTTCCCCCAGCAGTGAGTCACAAGACGGGCTTATTATCCCCTTTATTAATGAATATTAGAGCAGGAAATGGAGGGCAAAATGATGGAGAGGAATCAATTCGTATCACAAATATACTTAAGTGCATCATGTATTATAATTTCTGTTCCGTAATCATTTGAGTCACAACAATTACTCCAGAATTTTTCCTCCCATAGAGTCTCAGCCGGCCTCAAACCAAAGTCAAGTCATTAAGCCAAACACTTTTTTAAAAGAACACACATGGAGTGCAGCAGAATGCATGCATGGCATCTGTAATTTCCAGAAGGTAACTGCTGCTTGTTAGGCTAACAGCAAAAGTGAACATAACAAAGATTTGTAATGTGGGTTAAGCAAAGCAGAGATGTCAAACTAATTTTACATCGTGGATCACAAATGCCCCACTCTGATCTTAAGTGGGCTGAACCAGTGAAACTCCCCTTTCTGTTGGTGGAAACGCATTCAACTAAACATTTAATCCCTGACTTATCCTAATATAAGAAAACTGAGTGTTCAGCATTAGAAATGTGGAGATACTGGAAAAACAGAAACTTTTCTCTCACTTAATTATTAATCTATTACATAAGTATTTCATGTAGTGTGAATGGCAGTGGGGAAGATCAATATTTACCAACAGAAAAAGCTGGAAAACTTTTGAAAATACAGATCCAGTGGACCCAACTGGCTTCTGGCCTCCGGGACTCATTATTCCACACCCCTGACCTGAAGGCATCACCGTCATGTTACTGTTTTTAACCCAGTAATCAGATGTACATGTTTTTCCTCTCGACTCTAGTGTCTAGCATGCTTTTCTGTCTCGCCAACCACTACGTCCATGAATCTTCTCAGCAGTCTTTTCTTCTCCTTCCTGTCTGGCAGCTCCATATTCAACTCCACTATTCAAACCATCTCATCCTACCTCTCTAACTTTGTCCTCAAACAGCTCCACTTGTGCCGTCTCTCCGATACACTCATTTCTAGTCATGTCCGTTCTGGTCACTCCCAACCAAACAAATCTGAGCATCTTGAGGGAGGCTGCCAACTCCACCCTGCCCACACTCTTCACCTCTGGCCTGTAGTGGTTTTAAAAATCAGTCTACTAGGTGGCACTTCCTTTGTGGTTCTCAAACAACAACAAGAAAAAAAAAATGAAAAGGAAAACATTTTTAAACAATACCAGCCTTTTACACGTTTTCTTTCCACTGCCTACATCCTCCATATAAATGAAGCAAGCAGCGAGCTATCATTACCACTCAGCTTGAGGGGGGGGATGCCATTAATTTTACATCCTGTCTCGCTGTCACTGGCGCACGACAGACTTCTTTCTGCACACAGATACGACTGGCAGATATAGTTTGCAAGACAGAAAGTAGTCCCTGCATGAAAATGCTCGCTGCGAGGTTGGTGTGTTTATTCCGAGTAACTGGGTCACAATTTGTGGAAAGAGACATTAATGCTGAGTTTTTCCAAATGAACTTTTTGGCACCTTAAATACCAAAATGGGAGAAGCGTTTCTTTCTATTAGAATCAAGAGAAAGCAGACATCTCTGCTAATAATATCTACAGAGCTGGCTGACTCACACCAAAACAGTCTAGATGGAGACACCGCACTGCAGGCCACAGGGAAAATATAGAAATGTGATTTTAGGATGAACCGCCACTTTGAGTCTTTGAAGTTTCGTGCCTTCTCTTTATTGCACTTCATACTGCAAACATAAAATCTGTGTGAGAGTCACTTTAACTAGATCTTCTTAACAAATCTACAGAGCATGGTGTCCTACCTTCGATGGCTGGGCTGTACTGCGACATCACGTTGCTGGCAAGTGTTGGCAACGAAACTGCCACAAAGACCATCAGCAGACAGGCGATCTTATACTCCTCCTCTGGGCTGATGTTCTCTGCAGACAAACATCGTGATGGTCATACAGATGAATTGCGTGGCTCCTGGATCGTGGTTGTGTGTGACCGTGTTTGCGACTCACCGCTCTTTTGAGAGGACAGAGCCACCACCAGAGCTGGGTCGATCTCACAGGGTAAACCTGCTGCTGAGGACAGCTCGTAAACGTTCATGGCCACCTGGAAACAGACAAAACATCCACATGAACGCAAAGAGCGGGACATCCGGAAGCGCATCTACCTCGACAAGCCCATCAGTGTGTTTTACCTTCATGTCCGTCTCTCGGGGAATGTGGTCCTTGAAATCCTCCACTGAGCTGACCAGGAAAGGAATGTGACAGGACAAAACCTGGAAAAAGCAAAACCGACACAGACCACTAAGACGGAGAAAGATGGAAGAGGAAATACTCTAAAATATTTATAAGTGTGCTTTTCAGCAGCCACTATCAGGAAATCTCAGACTGAATGAGCAAGGGCCAATAAACGTGTACCTCAACACTTACACTGAATGTCTTAATTTAATGTGTGATTTCAGAGTGCTGCCTGATATTTTTATCCTTTCACTTTTAATAAGCAGCGTTTCCGGAAACCAGCTAAATGTCAGTCTTAGAAGGCTTAGGTCAGTTAATCCAGTTCTGGAACTTGGTCCAACTCCAACTTCTAAATTGCTAAATCCAGAGGACCAAAGAACATGAAAGCTTGTAAGTATAAACCATGATATTTATCATTAAAAAGACAAGAGGGGAGTAGCTGGAATCAGAGCCAGGTTTAATTCATATTTGATGTAACTCAGCTTATAACTCAGCTTTAACCTGACAGGGACATAATGCAAGCTATTGTGATTGTCGATGAGACAGTCTAGTAAGACTGATTTTGGCCATTTACAGTATAAAAGATGACGAGGTTCAATATTAAAATGCCTACAACATCTACTGTACCTTTCTAAATGAAAACATTTTTAAATGACTGTATTTTAATGCCATGAATATGCCCCAAAGCTGAACAAAGAAATGCACATTATTATAGTTTTGTATTTTCTAGTTTTAGTTTTGACTTTTTGTTTTAAAGTGAAGTTTAGCTTCAGTTAGTTTCCAGAGTGGATTTTCTTATTTCGGTTTAGTTCTTGTTAGTTTCAGTGTTCATCTTAGTCTTTTTACTTATTACTGCATGCTATTACTCTGAATGTCTCAGAGAAAATTAATACAGGTTTTACAATAAAAACGAATTTTTCAAAAGCAGCTGACCCACGGTGTGTCACAGTATCGTAAATAGTCAAACTTTCCTTTACATTTTCATTTTATTCTATTCAAGTTCACAAAATTGTTTGAGTTAATTTTTTTAACTCAGCTTTAGTTTTAGTTAATTATAATAACCTTGATTGACACAAGTTGCCAGTATCTATCGCCTCAAAGTGGTATATGATTATGTGTGCCTTACGTCTCTCAGAGCCTCCTGAGCGAGCGAGCGGAAGGACAAAATGACCCCAATGATGGTCATTCTCTTCAAAACACTGTCCACAGCTACAAAAACAGAAAACACAGCGAGTGAGTGGAATTACAGCAGCTGTCACAGTGATCAGTGTTAATTCAGGAGTTCACCAGTCACAAAAATAAACTTGCAAGGAGGTGTATCAATTTGTACTTCAAGTGTACTAACTTGAAGTCATTTCTAACCAACCACTTTCAATACGATGGCAAGTTTAACACAGATGTAATCGAATCTCAAACAAGAGACTGACACTGAGACACTGACATGAAACAAGCCAAGGCTGCTGATTGTAAACAGCTAAATATCACACACACAAAAAGTGGCATAAGTACTCCCATCGTGTTTGGATAATCACTTATTGTTTGGCACCATGATGAAACTGTAGCTGCAAAGATCCGTGCCAAGTAAGTGTAAGCACAAGTATTAGTGTTAGTGTTAGTAATTACAGGTGAGTTTCTTGAAGAGCGCAGCCATGTGGTCTGGTTTGTCAAAGCTCGTCCTCATCTGGGTCAACACCTCCATGTTTTCTACCACCAGTTTCTACAAATAAACAAAACACAAATATATGTAAGAACATTTTGTCAAAATTTTTAAAAAAGAAAAAAAAAAAAGCCTGGTTATGAATGGGACCATGGAAGGCGTCAGACTACACTAAACACTCAACATCAACCAATTTGTTTCCCTATTTTTGGCTCTCTCTGATGTAAGGAAGAAGGGATATCCCCAATAAGGCCAGGCACACTGCTCGGACTTCTCACAAAAGATTACAAATATATGAATCAGTTTTCTGAATATTATATTTAAAAAAAAAAAAGAAGAAAGAATCAGAGACGCAACAGGTAAGGAAAAAGAAATCACTCATCTGAATAAAACTCACTGACTAATAATATCACCTGTACAACTTGGTATAACAGTTTATATTATTCAATATGTGAGTATATCTTTATGATTGTGGACATGTTTATACCTTCAGCTCAGCAACCTGAGATGAGATGTGCCACATCAGGCTCTCACTAAGAAACTTCATACCATACGGGCCCAAGAGCTCTGACAGGGAACGCATCTCTGTGGAAAAAGCAAAAAATTAAACACTTTCAATAAACTTTCAGCAGAAAAAAAAAGAAGACGAGGAACAGAAAAAAAAACAAGATGGCTAAACTCTAAACTTATATTAATACACAAAACCCCACATTAAGGTTTCTCTTCTATAGCTGATTTATTGTTTGTCGTCATAAATACCAAGTTACTAACATTTTCATGCACAAAGTGTGTTTGTATGAGTAAACAATCTTTTGAGTGATTGTACCAGAGATATCAGAGTATTCTTCAGCATTGAAAGTTAGTTCGTTCTCAGTGGGCAGGTTGACGAAAGCCTTCATGGCGGGGAAGTAGGCGATGTGTCCGTTACTGACCTGGCGGAGCAACGTTTCCAAGTACCTACAAACACACACAGGATGCTGTTTCACTATAGGTTACATGCTTGGTCCTCAAAAGAAAAACAAGCTGAGCTCCATTAAGGTCTGTCGGGTATAATAAATAAGTAAAACTGTAGCCACTGAGCTTGCAAACCATTAAATTTTTTATTTGGTTTTCTGCTTGTTTTGGGTTCAGGATTTACCCCTCACTGGTGTGGATGTGCTTATTTGGTCCTCTAGTTAAATAGTGCATCTTCCTAAATGTTATAATAAATTAAATGTTAAACTAACTAAACTAACTTTTCAAAAGACAGTTAAGGTAGGGTGCACTCAAAACTGTTCGTTTCAGACAGAAGGTAAACAGAGAGGCTGAATTAAGGCCCCGAAAAAAGCTACTGTAGTAGAGCCCAAGAATAAAGACATGGAGCTGGATGTGAGGAGAATAGAAATTGCTCTGATTAAAAAAAACAATCATCTAAAACTACTGAGAAAAGTCTAGTGAGTTATTTGCGTTGTTTGTTGTTTATTTCCTCCTCAAATTACACTTCTGCTTCCTTTGCTGTGTCATTTTTTGGTATTTTATTAACAATGTTTTTGGAGAATTGCAGAAGTGCTAAAAATCAACACACCAGTTTGTGTATAAACTGGTGATGGTGGGCTCTCCGTGGCTGTCCAGGTGCTGCGTCTGCTGCAGGAGGACGTTGTTGAAAACTCGTGTGATGTCGATGGTGACGTAGTTCTCTATGGACTGCAGCACGGTCATGTATGCTCGGACGCTCGTCAGCAGCTCGCTGGGCTTGGCTATCTCCTGAGTAGCCTGGTTGTACATGGTCATCCCCACTATGGACCTGGACACGATCAGAGGTCAATAAGACATGCCTAAGTTAAAGTACATTTAGTAAGAGCACTTTTAAACCTCAAAGTTGCACAACTTACTTTAATTACCTTAATTTTAACGATCATAAAGCTGCAATCTCTTAACTTTTCATTCTGAAACACCAAAGCGGTTTACACCTAAACTGCTCAATTAATCTGCTTTTAAATAACTGCTTAAAGCACAACCTCTGGACTGTGCACTGCTTAATAATTACTGTCATGTCATGATGAGGTAGTAATTTGTACTTTTTCCTATTCACTGAAAGCTGTACATGTAGTATTTAATTAACACAGAGGTGGTGAAGAGCAGCGTTAGCTGGGCTGCGAGGTCGACAGATGCAACTCTAAATTGGACAAAATGTATCTGTAATTATACACCTTCACTATGAAAGCATGCGTGCGTGCTTATTTACTTGGTAAATCGGATCTCCAGGTGCGAGGTGAGGTACTCCCTCGGTGTGAAAGTGTGCTCCCACACAATCAGGTTGGGGACGTAGTTGATGGAGAAGCAGAGTTCAGATAAGGCGGTGTGGAGTTTATCCAGACTGGGGGGCGGGAGGAGACACATAAACAACAGATATGATTAAAACCTGATCTGTGCAGAGAAAACAAGCAACAATACCAATAAAACCAATAAAAGAGAGCAAAACTATGAGACTTAAAATGAAGGAAGTATAGATATATGTAGGTGAAAATATAAAAACTTAATTGGAAAGCGCTGACACGTCTGGGAAACGGTGATAACAACACGGTGGAGGGTTCAAAACAATACCAGCCAGATTTGATGTGTTAAAAAAATAATATTTCAACTATTTATAGGGGAAAGAAACAGCTAAATATTACCATTTTCATTTTTACTGCATGAGCAAAGATGAATACTTATTAATCTATAAACAATTACAGATCACTATAATTAAAACACACTCAACAGTAATGAGTTTTTAAAAGAAGCATAAAGAATAAGCTGAGCCTGAGAACAGACAGAGGCAGACTGTGGCTCTGCAGATCCTTCAAAAACATTCAGATCTTCACGTTCCCTCTTTTTGTACTAACTTGGTGACCAGCAGTCTGTTCTTCCTCATGCTCTCCACGCCTGGTTTCTCCCTCTCCGGCTCGCCTTTCTTCCCCGTTGCCTTCTTGCTCTTCTTGTTCACAGCTTGGCTGATGGTTTTTGCGCAGTGCTTGGGAAGCAGCTATGGTAAAAATAAAAAGGTACAACATTTCACTACAATTATTAAGCCACTGACATTTTGTTTTAAAGTGCTCTTCAGATTTACATGAGACCTTTTTACTTGTTTAAAGAATCGTTATTGTTTTATATTATGATTTTTACAATTTATTAAAAATTTTACTTATTAAGCTCCTTTTTTCCTCATTTAACTGAAATCTTTTCTGTTGATTATTTTTTAACTTATTGATTGATTTTGTTTTGCCTTGCTCTCATTTTTTTTTTTTATCTTTCTTAGGCAGTTAAACCAGGAGACTGACAGACATATTTAAGGAGCTTTTAACAACAACAAGCTTCAACAAATGACTAAATATTTATATGGACAAACATCATTTTATGCTCTGGGTATTGATGGCAAAGTGTTGGTCGATCTGAGAATCTATTTCAGTACCGGGTCAAACTTGCATAATAGCAAAATTATCAATACCATGTATTATTGTTTCTACATTAATAAGCCAGCAATTAATTTCTTAATGCCCAAAAAAGGGATAATTTACAACTGAATCGACATGTAGCAATTACATGTGGCAAAATATTTTACAAAGCCTGATTCTACCTTGAAATAAAGTATTTTTTTCATACTGGAAGAAGGAACTGGTCAGTTTATCTTTGGATTGATTTTATTCTCAATAAAGTCTGTCAGCGTCTAACCAGCGTTCAAACAGAGGGCGTTGGAGGGGTTGGCTGACGCAGATTGTTAACCTGTATCACTGTCAGTCTGATCAGTAATTTGTAGCATTTGTATTCAAGCTAGAAATGTCAAACTGTCCCTGTAAACAGTTGGCTTTGTGTTCCTACCTGGTCACTAAGTGTACACTGCTCGGTGCAGATGTCAGTGATCAGGTTTCTGGCCTGTTTGGCCATTTCGTCCAAAAACATGTTGCACAACGACAGGCTTCGATCCCCTATGTGGTGACGCTGAGGAGGAGAGTAGGAAGAGACAAAAAGACTCAAAGTGAAATCATTATCAAAACAGCATAATCATCACACATATCACGCCTGATGCCCAGGCTCAGAGGGGAAAGCAGCTGTCAGTCAATGATAAAAATTGTATTGAATTTTGTAGAATCTGTTTCAAAAAGACCAAAACAGTTACTGCGGGGTGCCTGTTTAGATGCATTTTAGATGGGTATAAAAAAA